CCGGCCCACCAAAAAAAAAAAGGCAGAAATAGTTTGGTTAAGATCATCGGAGCCGATGACTTCACCTCCAAAATCAGCAGAAACAAACATGAATTTCATCAAAATAGGCTCAAATCCTACCCACATTCAAGAACAATTTCTATAATCATCTATCAAATCTCAAATATAAGGAAAACCCACCAAAGATTAAGAGCCAAAGAGAGGAGGAGAAAGAGAGAGAGAGTTCCATACTTATGTTGGAGGCCTCAGATCAGTGTTGGAGGAAATAAAGGATGTGGAGGTCCAATAGAGATGCAGTGATGGGCTGAGAGAGTTCCATACCTATGTCGAAAAGCTCATTCGAGCCACCATGGCCCTAACGGCCATCGTTGTCCTCACAGAGAGAAGAGAAAGAGAGAGGGCATAGAGGAGAGAGAGGGCATAGAGAAGAGAGAGAGAAAACATGATTGAAGATGGTGAAGTCAACGGTGGTCACATATGATAAAGGAGAGATAGAGACAGAGAGACAGAGAGAGATTTGAGTCTTGAGATTTGTGATGTGAAGTGAATGTAAATATATATATATATATATATATATAGGGGGATGTCGGGGATAATTCGGGCTAGGGATTGGGCCGGGAGAATCTATCCCCGTCTCCAGCCCGAAAATCATCGGGGATCTATTTTTTGATACCAACCCTGGCCCTATAGGGGATAATTTTTGGGAAAAACCCGACATATCGAAGTGGGACAGTCCAGGTCCCCGTCGGGCCGAGTTCAAATTGCTATCCCTAAGAAGGGCAATTAGGCACCTCAACACCCCCAACATGTTCTAAAATTTACATACACCCAATCACATAACCCAACACTTAATCCATTACCATGCGGATGTAATGCAATACATGAGTTTGCAATATTATAATTTAACTGAAGTTTTGTTCAATCACACACAAAATCAACAAATAAATACGATACGAGATATTTATATATTTTCATATCTCCAAGTCATTCTCGCCATCAATTTTAGTTACATACCAATTCATATATTATACCCTTCAACATTTCCAGATTTCCATGCAATGAAACTTCCTTGAATCCTCAATTAACTTCATCATAATGCAAATTTCATCCCACTTACGGATATTGAAGAGTATTATTTGAGATTTCAACATAAGGTACCAATTTAATTCAAACCCTCATTTAAAAACAAATTCTCAAATCTAACGTTTCAAGAAAAAAAAATGGGGGTTTTCCTCATTTCATCATCAAATCCACAAATCATAAAATACTTCTCATCAATATCTCCAAACATTCAAAACATTTCAAAAGCTTAAGTGAAAATTTCATTTTTGAATATAAATATCTTTTAATCAAAGATTCAAACTCAACTCAACCCATAATTCTCAAACTATAACATAATAAAAAAAAATCATAAATGATTAGAATTAAGAGAACTCCCTACCTCATGGATGAGAGCTACCTAGGAAGACCCAAGCAAAAACCTTGACGAAACCGTGATCCAATCGATCAAAAGAACGATCTTCACTCCTCCGTCACTAACCTTGCATGATCTATGGTGGATCCTTGGTGTAATGGGGTGAAATCAAAGGTTTTGAGGCTAGGTTTTTCGGATATGGAGAAGTGAGTGAGACAAAAGAGAGAAATATGAGAGAAAATGAACAAAAAGTGAGTTTTATACTGGCTGATCCCGAACAGACCACTCGAGCGACCACTCTTGCGCTCGAGCGTCAGAGACACAACACTACTCGAGTAATGAAACCTTTGCTCGAGCGTAGAACTCATACTCCCAGAACTTTAGATCGAACTAAGGCAAACCGCTCGAGCAATCATTTATGCGCTCGAGCAAACTTCGATATCTCCTAGAATCTCAAACTTGCAAAAGTACTAGATAACCCACAAGACTGCTCGAGCGAGCACTTCTTCACTTAAGTGAAAAAGAAAATTTTCAGACTGTTACACCACCCACGTATCTATATATATTATACGGTAGAACACCCAAAAAAAAACAATTTGTTCTATCTTTCGTCTCTCTCTTCTATCTTTCTTCACTGACAGCCATCACTGTCCCAACTCCTTCATCACCACTGCTAATCACATCACAAACACTACCACCACAATTTCACTAATCTCTCTATCTCTCTCTCTCTCTCTCTCTCTCTCTTCGCGATGGCCCAGTAAGCATGTTCGCCATAGACAACAACCTCGAGAGGGCAATCGAGGTAGCTTCCACGGTAGATTAGTGAATCCAAATCTCTGTGCAGTTCATATTCTTACAAATCTCCAGCAAAGCTTCCATAACAGTACAACAATCTTGCTTCTAGGGCTTTTGTTTGATTTGAATTTACCACACTCTCTTAGAGCTAGTAAATAACTTGTCCCAAATCTCTTTTCTCGTGAAGTCTTCTAGGGTTTATAGGAGCTCCTCTGATTGGTTTTTCTCCCCCATTCTCTCTTAGTTCTAGTTTTGTGTCTAGGCCCCTCAGGTTTTGAAGGGATTTAAGTAGAAATGAAGGAATTTTAATGGGCTGTGGCATACCCATCAAATAACAAATTAAACCCCAAAATATTTCATTTTGAAAAAATAATAAGATAGATTTCAAAATTTGAACAGATAGGGGCTTGGTTTTGCAACAGAGAGGGGTTTACTTCAACATTAAAATAAAAAATAAAAAAATAAAAAGTAAAAAATTGAATGAACGAGTAATAAATTTTGGACAGATATTTAAACAGATAAGGGTCTTAGCCCCTCCTCTCACGATTTTGCTAGCTGGGGACCGCCCGACTTGCGCATTAGATCTCCAAGATAGTTTCTTTTTTCAATCTCCAACTTCTTCTCTTGTTTGTCCCAAATCTAGGGTTTCATTTGCGAAGTTTGGCCCTAATTTTCAACTTAGTTTCTTATCAAGGAACTGGGTTTTCATCCAGCTATTTGTGAAATACATTTATGTACTTATGTTCAGGGCCGATCTGTGGCTTTTTATGATGATTTATGTAGGTTGTTCATTGCTCTTGATTATCCTTTAGATTTGAAAAATTTTAATCTTTAATTTTTTTTTTTATTGAGGAATACGGTTTTGCTTGTGAATTATTTTTTGGTGAATCATAAAAATTATAATTTTTGTGTTTAATGTTTTCTGCTGAAGGTCACAGCAAGTAGGCACATCTATTCTGAGGAATCTAGAAGATTAATTTGGAGGGTCAATTGGGTGATGATTGAGCTGACCGAGAGAAATCAAAAACAAATTTTGTAAATAAATAACAGATACACATTTGTGAAGAGATAGCAAAATCAGAGAAAAAAAAAATCATTTCTTTTTTGTTCTTTTGTTTATATTTCTTCAGTGAATCCATTTCTCTGCATATCTGTGTGGCGGGCGATTTCAACAGATAGCAAAAACAAAGTTTGTGAATTTGAACAGATCACTCTCTTTTCTCTCTAAAAGGCTCATATATGTTCAAAATTAAATAAATAGATTAAGATAAAAGTGAACAAATAAAAAATGAACAGATAGGAAAATAATTTAAATAGATAAATATAAATTTGAATAGATGGGATTAACAAAAAAAATTATACAGATAGGAAAAAATTTGAACAGATAGATAAAAAAAATTTAAACAAACAAAAAAATTTGAACAAATAGATATAATTTTGAATAGATAGTCAACCGAAAGTCAAACAGCTAAATAAATAATAAAAAAAAAAGTTAAGAGGTAAAATTGGAAACAAAATATTTTTCAGGACTCCTCAGCAAATTATTTTATAAAGGGTGAATCTCTCACTAATAAAAAAATATTCACTGGACTTAATACCTTAGACGATTGTTAAAGTGGATTTTTCACAAATTTTCTCAAACCCATTTTCCTTAATATATTTTCTTTTCAAATTTTTAAATGAATTAATCAACTTTGATTTTGAACTGTGTAAATCAAGACATAATTTTTTTTTTTTAATGATTCAATAAAAGTTAGCCAATAGAAATTCTTTTTAATTATTTAAAAAAATAAAATTTCTAGAAAGATAGTATGAGAGTTTTGAGTTTCACAATATTCTTCTCATTAAAAATTCTTTTTTCCTTAATATATATAATATAGATAAGATTGGGACTTTTGGCCAATTTTCTCAAAAATTATTACCAAATTTATAATTAAAAAAAATAATAATAAATAAATAAATAAAACCTTGTTTAAAAATTATTTCCTTGTATGCGACTGCCCAGATTGATTAGGTCATTCCTGCCCTAGAAAAATGTCGAACAATGTGAAAGTGATTTACATGTCTACCTGCCAAAGACAATAAACACTCTTTGGTGTCAAGTTGGATTATATATATCGTTCTCATGACATTGTTTGACAAGGTAAATTTGAGACCAAATCAAATGTTAATGTCATGTTTACGTGTTCTATAGATACCCCCAAAAAGAAAAAATTATAGTAGGTGCAACAAACAAAGAAACAGGAGTTGCAACCTACCTGTCTCAAGACAAACCACAGACCACACACGTTTTATTCATGGCCCTGCAAAAATTTTCCTGGATAAGCTTCTTGTTTTTTTTCCTTTCTTATTTCCCCTCACTCAACCATTCCTTTGAATGTGAACCCACTTTCTATGTTGTCCCTACAGCCAACACTAACAAAAGTTTTTTTGATCGTGTTAACAAAGTAGGAAGGACCACTTCACGCGAATATTAACACGTCCAATGAAAGAACCTCTCAAAAATGGAGTTTAGTTGTCTACATCTTGTTTTCTTCAGTTTCTGCTTTAGCGAGAACCTCGTATATCGGATCGTTCATATCTCTCATAGATCGCGTACTATTTCAGCAATGCATTCATCTCAAATAGCAGAATTGTAAACCCAACAGCAGAAGTTCTAGCAGCACCCCCGGTTTCTAAAACAGTGGGATTGTTGACACAACAAGCATTAAGGTAAATGTGAACCCATCAAACTGAAAACCCAAATTTGCTAGCAAGTGATATGAGTAGAACAAACACTCCAAGCATATATTGCGAAAAATCAGATATTCAGATATGATGTAACGATGCCAAATGTCATTACATGCAATGCTATACAAGAAAGGAACCAATACGAACAAGCTGACTACTGTATATCGCAACCAAAGCTTCCATACAAGATATAAAGGAACCCATAAGCTAGCTGATATGGTCTGAATAAGTCGAAACATAGACAGCTATACAAGAAAGTAAAGAATACATAAAATGGGAACAAGTCAAAGTAGAAGCCCTAACATCTACTCAAATTGACTCGGAATGAGTTCAGGGGTGCCCCTTCCATGCGTTGTCCTCTCTGTTGTTCCTGAAGGCACAACACCCAATTGAGTATACGATGATGAGGAATACAAGGAATATGATGTTGACGATGGCCACTTTCTTCCAGTCATGCTTGATGTTATCGAGAAGCCCAGCCTTGCACGATTGGCAGTTGAAGCACAGTGTGGTTGGGTCGCTGCTCCACTGGTTGCAATCGGAATTGTTATATGGAGTGTTGCCTGTGGGAGTCCAGTTGGTTGGGCTAACATAGGTGAAATTGCAGTCATTTGATGGCTTGCAGCAACCCGACTGTGAAAGGAACAATTAAAAACAAATTAAGTATAAACAAAGAAAACAAAAAATGTAGCAGAAAACACAATAGATTATTCCTAATGGTAAAACAGATGAAATAAAATAAAATAAAAGTAATTAGTCCAATTCCATCCCATAAAAAAGTGTTTCTGTTCAGATTCCATAGAAGATTTGTGTGAACAAAATTATATGCAAAAAGTGCTGTTACATAATCACACTACGGGTTTCCTTAACAAAGAAAAAGAGAGACGGAGAGTGGAGCTTCAAAAAGGAATGGAGGAAACTATAAATGGTGCTGATACTGAAATCCCTAGTTAAATAAGTTTCTCCGAATTCATTATGATTCCAGGCAATCAAAATACAGGAAATGAATCCTGAAAATCACAATTCACAAAACTAGAGAGAACCTAAATTCAAGTATAATTGTAATATTGAAAGTGCCTGTAAACCAACTGAAAGAATGATCTGGCCAATTCATCAAAATGTTAACCAAAACTATTAACTGACAGGCACAGAAATTGAACACACACACACACACACACAAAAAAAAAAAAAAAAAAAAGAAAGGATGCAATTTTGTATGAAAAAGTGAATGGATGATCAAAAAGCTCAAGACTGCACAGTATATACTGATGTGAACTCCAAATTTAGATTGATGTTAATTGTAGTCAAGAATTAAACATTAAAGTATGTTACCTATAAAATTTTCCCAAAAGTTACAGTATTGTAGAAACAGAAAGAATAACCTTTTTATCATAAAGTCAGCTATGCTCAAAAGGCTTCTAACTTTTCAAACAAAATCATAACCCAGTGAACACAACAAATTCAAACCCTCAAAATAGAATTTCAAATTTCAAAACCTGATCTATCAAAAGCCCTAATCTAAACAATAACCCAAAACCAAATTCATAAATAAAAAAATATATATATAAATAAAGTCACATGCTTAAAACAGTATGTGTATGAGTGAGAGAGAGATTATTGCATATTTGGGGGTGATAGATCTGAAAGAAGACTAACCCAGAAAACCCAATTTCCCAAATTCAAAAACACAGAAAACCCAATTGCTCAAATTCAAAAACAACCAGATTAATTACAAAAACAATATATAAACTATACATATTCACATGTGTATATATATACCTGAATGGCGGACAAGTGCTCGAGATAGAATTCATCGGCAGTGGTGTTAGACCCATCATCAATCAAGCTCTTGCAAACCTTACTGTCCTGCAAGCAACTCTTGATCTTGTTCCAATTCTTGGTACTATTAACCCTCTTCTGCAACCAATTCGAGTAGTCTCCGAGCCTATACTCCTTATACCCCTTCCCAGACACCACCTCTCCAACCCCCTTGTTTGTGACCACGAATGCGAAGATGGTGAAACAGAAGAGAATGACGATGAGGAGGAACATAGCCAAGAGGTAGACCCAGAGAAGCAACGAGACGCGACAGCACGCGCCGATGAGTCCAGCCAGAGAGACCACCATGAGGAAGACACCCAGAATGATGACTGGCTTTGTTAAGAACTTCTCGCACTCAGATGCGCCGTGGTGGTTCAGCCATACTCCAGCCCAGACGATGGGGATTGAGAGGAGGAATGTAACGAAGTTTAGTATACCGACCAGGTTGTTGCTCAATCGAAACATCTTCAAATTCTTTGATGAGAGAGAGAGAGAGAGAGAGAGAGAGAGAGAGAGAGAACAAGGGAAGCGCAAGACGGGGGACTAAAGAGAGAGAGATAGAGAGAATGGTTGAGAGAAATGGAATGGGTGGGGGATTTATGTAGGGATCTCTCTCTCTCTCTCTCTCTCTCTGGTTTATGGAGTTATTTTCTGAGAAGGTTCAAAGTTCAAACTGTGGATGTGAATAATTAATTACACGCGCTAAACACTCAATTTTGTTTTGTTTTATTTTTTGTTTTTTTGGAGACCAATTATTCATTGACCCAAAGCCAATCAAGCAACTTATTTGTGTAGACTTTATGTGTGTAAAATTTATATGAAATTTATACAAATAGATGATATAGATTGATTTGTAACAATGACATGAATTATGAAATAATTTTTTCCATTTAAATAGTATGATTTGGTGGGAAATGATAAAAAAATTTAAGAATTCTCATATTTAATTCATAATTTGGGTGAGAAATTGAGATAAAGATGGTGATTTTGTAAATAAATTTATTTTATCTCTTATCAAAAATAGTGAGATTTGATAAAATAAATAAATAAATTGATTGGTTGCAAATCTATGAGAGAAATATCTACTTTTGAAGCCTTGACTTCCTATTTTGCTAAATATCTACTTTTTTATTTAAAATAAAAAATTTAAATAAATGATAGAAATAAAACTTGAACCTTAGGTCATCTTCAACGGTTCATCAAACCTTGCATCATGTTTGAAATTTGGTAAAAAAGTCACTTTTTGGAGCTCCAATGGTTTCAGCAAATTGGTATAAAAAATGAGAATTGAACAAAAAATTCATCAAAGTAAGAATAGGCTACAGATTTCACTATTTTATTGTGCTTTACCGTTGTGGGAGACCAACCGGTCAACTAGTCGGATATCTGGCCGATTGACCAACCGGCTGACCGGTTCCCTTTCAAATAGGTAGGTTCAAACAGGTCGAAAGGTTCAAACAGGTTTAAAAAAAAAAATTAGTCTTACCGATCGACCATTCCCTCAATTCTGCATATATTTTGTTCAACAGGTTTGATACTCACCATTGGAGGAAGCCGTATCAAATTAAAAAAACAACCTATTTTTTATTCAAATTTGGTGAAAAAAGAAATGAACAGTTCGAGATGCTCTTAGAGGTTAATTGAATGATGAAGATTTTTATTACTTTAATAATATAAAAAATAAAATACTTATTTAAATACATGTTAGCTGTTAGTTTTTTTTTTTTTTTAACACAAAAAAAAATCTTTTATTTATTTTTTTAAATATTCAAACATAATTGTGTCTATGATTTTGGGATTTTACGAGAATATGTGAAATTTTCTACACCTGCTCTCTAATTGGCTCAGATGTTGGTTGTTAAAGATCTATTTTTTCAAAATTATTAAGTATTTTTAAAATATTACGTGTTTATATTTTTTTATTAATTTTTATTGATTATGTTTTTATATTTTTTTAATTCCTTATCATGAAATTATAAATCACAACTTTTTATCAATTATAAATATCTTAAAACACAACATAACCATATTTCATGAGTATCCAATAACTTCTCCTATTTCGTACGCCGCGGCAAGATAAGCGCCCCGTATCAATAAACTTTTGGCTTTTATAATTAATTAATGAATTTATGTACGATGACGTTACCGTTGTTGGATTTCAAAACCGACCTGAACGTCGGACTCACCTAAAATATAAACGGACTCTTTAATCCGGCTTTACTAGATTAAAAGTTGATTTATTATTTTTTTAATTATATTTTTTTATTTTTTATATATTTTTGAATAAAATTAAAAAAATAAAAAGTCAATTTTGAACTTATTTTTCCACAATAAGCCTTTGTCTTGTTTTTTCATTTTGCCTCACAGGGAGTCTATTTGGTTTACACATTCAAAATAATACACATTTTGATTAGAATCAAATTACAATAAAATTACATGTCAAATGCTTTTAAAAAAACTTGTAATTATAAATTTATAATAAAAGTTAGCTAGATTTATCAATAATTCCTAAATATTGATCTTATGATCTAATTGGTCCCATTTTTTTTTTCTAATGATCCGTTTTGTCCTGTCTTTTTTGAAGGGCATGAATGCCTTCAATTGACAGATTAATATATGTGGAATAGTTGTATATGAGGGGATCAGGTTTAGGCCTGTATGACATGCGCTTGTGAATTTGAGAGGGAGGTATTGTATGTGTGTCACATGACACATAATTGGGGTGTCACACAAGGATAAAGCGCACTAAGGGGTTTTGTACTACGCTTGTGTGTTTGCTGGTTGCCACATGGCACACAAACATCCACATACCCATACTTGTGCAATGTCAGTACATAAAAGAAATAAAGCTCAATCCCCCACGTACCCAACCTCACACCAAAACATTGTTTACTACTTTCTGTGGTCTCTACTTTCATTAGTCTATTTACACAACTTATTTGATCAAGTATTTTCATACGCACAACCACCCAACCCACAACACACACTACCCCATTCCCACATCACACACTACCCCATTCCCACATCACACACGAATTCAGATCTTCGGTAGCCCTTTCCTGTCGCCCTTACCGAAACGACGTCGTTTTTTTTTTTTAATTTTTCCTCAAAATTTGAAATTCCCGCTTGTTTTCTACTCAACTCTATGTTTTGTTTTGTTTAGCCCTAAGACAGAGATGGTAGACGAAGAGAGAGAGAGAGAGAAAGAGAGCTGAGCTGAGAGATGAGGCAGATGGTGGAGGGGCGCGAGGGCGAGGGCGAGGGCGAGGGCGAACGAAGGATGGTGGAGGGGCACGACGGTGAAGGACGAAGGATGGCGGAGGGAGGAGACTACTATTGCGAAGGACGAAGGATGGCGGAGGGAGGAGACTGCCATGGCAATGGAAGGAGCATGGCGGAGGGAGGAGACTGCCATGGCGAAGGACGAAGCATGGCGGAGGGACGCGACGCGACGGCGAGGCAAGATTGCGGCCCTGAGAAGGTAAAATAAGTGAATATCTGTAGCTGATATTTTTCAGATTATTGTAGCTGATATATACATATATATATATATATATTTGAATATCTGTCTGAAATTTTTTATAAATATTTCTAGAAGTCAAAAAAGATTATAGAAAAATATCAATTCTGGGTTTTTCAATTTTTTTTTTCATTTTTTGTTGTTATGTTCTTCAATTTTCTGTGGCTTTCAACTTAATATTTGTGATGGTAACCCAAATATTTTTTCAGTTATTTTTTCAATTCTGTTAATTTTTTCAATTAATTTTTTGACCCAGTGATGGAATTGTTCAAAAAGGTATATTCCACTACAAAACATTACAAAAATGTTAACAGAATTCTGTTAATTGAAAAAAAATTTGACCCAGAATTCTGAAAATTAACATAATTGATCTAACTGTTATGTGTTCAAAAAAAATTTCAGTTAATTCTGTTAATTGTTCAAGAATGAAGAACATAACAACTACCAATTGATTTAATATTTGTGTTATGTGTTTGTATGACTTGGGCAAAAGGTATATTCCACTACCAAACATTACAAAAGAATGGAATTGGTGTTATCTGGAATTCCAAACCCCCTCTCTCTCCCTCTATGTGTCCCAAGAATTCCAGATAACAAATATTCCAGGAATTCCAGATAAAACAAATATGACTTGTGCTTTATCTTGCTGAATTGGTCTTGGAAGTATTTTTTGAATCATCTTGCTGAAAATTTCACCACTAAAAATACAGTAATCTTTTGACTTGGGCAAAAGCTAGACATGGAATATTGGAAAAGCTTTATCGTGTGTATTGTAGTACCAAATATTACAAAAGATAACAATCAGAAAAAAAAAATAGGTAATAAGATAAATGGGTAGCCCTGGTTAGGCATGACAGAACCAATCTCCACCGAATAAAAAAAAGAAAAAAAAAAGTTAAACAAAGTTGAAGCATATATATATATATATATAATTATTCATATCATTCATCAGTCCCACTGGTATATTATATGTATAGGAAAATGTTATATAAATTACTCAGTAGTATTTGTAGGCACACTTCTAAAAAATCCTATCCATCAATTTTTGGGAAGTAGCTTATTTTATTATTTGTATGGTACTCAATTGTAGGTAATGGAAGAAAATAATGTTGTTGATGAGTTGGGTAGTTGTGGTTGGAAGCCAAAATTGGGCATGCTATTTGACTTTGAACAAGCTGCGTATGACTTTTACAATAACTATGGCGGAAAGGTGGGCTTTAGTATTAGGAAGTCGTATGCACACAAGAACAAACAAACCAAGGAAATAACTTCACGGATTTTTGTATGTTATAAAGAGGGAACTCGGGGTATTGACAAGCGAGATCCACTAGTAAAATTTTCGAGACAAGAGGTGCGATGTGGTTGTGGTGCCCGGTTGAGTATAAAGTTAGATAGAAATTTAGGGAAATATGTTGCAATTGATTTTGTTGAACATCATAATCATGACCTTGTGCGTCAAGAGTGTGTTCATATGTTGCTATCCCAAAGAAAAATATCTACCACCCAAGCAATTGAAGTAGAATTGGCTTCAGAATCTGGAATTCCTCTTAGGTCTGCTTATGAGCTATTTGGTAGGGAATGTGGTGGAAGAGCATCACTTGGCTTCACCAAATTGGACCAAAAAAATTATTTAAGATCGAAGAGACAAAAAGATTTGGAATATGGAGAAGCGGGTAGTGTGTTGCAATACTTTCGTAAGAAAACTGTGGAAAATCCATCCTTTATTATGCAGTCCAATTAGATTGTGAAGAGCAGATAACTAATATATTTTGGGCCGATGCTCAAATGATAATGGACTATGCTCAATTTGGTGATGTAGTGACCTTTGACACTACTAACAAAATAAATAACGAGCATAGACCTTTTGGAACCTTTGTTGGATTTAATCATCATCGAGAAACAGTTATATTCGGTGCAGCGTTGATGTATGATGAGACTGCCGAATCATTCACATGGTTATTTCAGATTTCTTTGGAGGCAATGTCAAACAAAGCTCCAAAAACTATTTTCGCAGATCAAGATGCTGCGATGGCTAAGGC